GGTTATCTGATAAAATCATTTACAGATCAAGCGTTAGCTGATACTACAGTAAATAAGGGTAGTGTCTAGAAAGTAGAAACGGTAGTTTCTTTCTTCTAGGCTCTAAGCAAACACTGCTGAAGCTTTGAGACAGTTTTGGGTTTTTTTGTTGTTGTTGTTGTTAACATTCACAAATTCAATTAAGCAACCATTTAGAAAGCATCTATTCTTTCTAAGCAAGTAGTTACATTGTTAGGTGACATGATCCTTAAAATCTATTTAGAGATCAGCTAACTATCCTCAGTATATGTCTAAATAAAATAAATGCTAAAGAAATCAATGTATTGGGAAGGAATTAGTAAATGAACTGAAGTAATAGTCATCAAAGGCTTTGTGGAGAATATGGGATTCTATTTTTTGCTTAGGACATTGAACTAAACTTAGTCAAAAACCTACATTCACTCAGCTTAGGCTGAAAGTTGGGAGATGCAAAATTTTACACAAATCTCTGCCCTGTTTAGTATAGGAATCAAGCTTTTCAAAAAAAATCTCATTACAATAAAGTGATATGTGAATCTAGAAGAAGATGACTAACACAGCCAGGGAGGTTTAGGGAGGCTTCCCATAAGAAATGGCATTTGGATTGTCTTTTTGGGAAAGCTATATTTTTAACAGGCAGAGAAGGGCAGGAAGGACATTGCAAGTGAGGAAAAATAACATGGCTAGAGTTAGAAGAGTCACAAAAGGATATGCTAACAGTAACAGTAAGATGTTTCTCATATAGAGACAGTTGGCTGCAGGAAATGAGGATGAACAACAGGTAAGACCTTGAACTCATGCTAGGACATTCGCATTTGGGGAGGCCTTAGAATCAACTTGGACTTAAAGCCAAACATGTAGTTCTCCAGACTCTCACTGCCTTGCTCTAAATAATCTGTACAGGTACACTTTACCACCTCTATCACATTTGGCAAGCCAAGTACCTCTCTGAGCCATAGTTTCCTATTGCAGTCAAGATCATTTTAATAGCACGTATCTCTTAAGGTAGCCATGAGGATATATGAGACTGTATAATTGAAACATGCAATAAAGATTAGAAGTTATTAGTATTAACTAGCTTGTAACAAAGCGGGTCCAAAAGACATCCAAAATGAGGAGACATCATTATCATAGACTTGATGTTAATGGATAGTTGGTAAAGAATAGGACTGGAAGGGGGAGGTGTCATATTCACCCTGTGGAATAGATACAGGGCAATAGTAGAGGAACTAAAAAAGGAAGATTATGGTGTCAGCAAACAGATATCTAGAATTTTGTAAGGGACTTATTGGGTAAAATATGTGGAAGAAGTAAAAAACAATGGAGTCTAATGGAAGCTCTCTGATGTCTATAAATAACTCAACTGGGAAACACGGGCAAAAACTTCAATATGTAGGGCAATATAGCCAGTTCTGCTCTAAAAACTGTGTATTAATACATGGAGGACATAGTGGCATTGGAAATCTTCCAGGAGAAACTGGAGATTCTTTTTTTGATATAGGCTGAAATTGGAGAGTCAAATAAAGTAAGGGGTAGCTAATGCGGTAAGAATGGAAAAGGTTTTTCTTTAGAGGTAAATAGACTGGGAAATCTTCAGAGCAAAGTGTCTGCGTGGAGTAGGCTCAAAGATAAGCCCTGAGTCTTGGTTGAAGATTGCTTAGTTTTGTTTCCCTCCCTAGGACCTTTGTATTAGACATGCCCTGTGCCTGCAATGTTTTCTGCCCCAATCGTCATATGTTTGTTGCATATTGTTATTCCATTCCCCATCTAAGTATGTAACCTCCTCAGAAAGGGCTTTCTCAACTCCACAGACTACAGTGGTTATTCACTCTGACATCACAGAGATCCTACATGTTTGGTTTTATGTTGTGTTTCCCATGCACAGAATCGTTGGGCACATCATTGGCATTCAGTCAATGTATGTTGAATGAATTCATGACCTTTGATAGTCATGTAACCAGTCTGTACCTTGCTTTCATATTTTGTAAAATCAGAACCAAAATTCCCCACATATCCTTGTGAGGATTATATGAGACAGTTCTGTCTAACCATAGCATATTGTCTGGCACCTTACTGGTATTGAGTAGGTGCTGGTTACCTGACCTGACTTCTCCTGCATCCTTTGTCTCAAACTTCAATGGAAATAGAAGACTGTAACCCTTCAACTAACAATACAATTGTTTTGTCTTTTGTCTTATTTTGTCTTTAATCTTTGTGAATCCTTCATAATAATTTTCAGCCAGTGTTTCTCTTTTTCTCTCCTGGCCCTTCATTTCTAACACCTGCTTTCTCATTGTTTGTTTGTTTGTTTTCCTTCACCTTTAACAGTGACAGAAGTTAAAATAAAAATTCTATGGAGAGTCTTCATATCACTCATCACTTCATATCATGCACTCTGCCTTTATCTCCTAAGCAGATTATAGGTTCAATGAATAACCAAAATAGAAATATTACTTACAAAATTGATATGAGGAACTTGATTTCATTCTTTTCAGGTG